AGGAACTAACAGGGACACACTCCCCATGTCCAGTTTCCTGCATAGGTCACCCACCAAAGCTGTCTAACCAGGCTTGAAGCTAGATTGAAATAGATCTAGATCAGGGGTCTCAAACTCAATTTACCTGGGGGCCGCTGGAGACAGAGTCTGGGTGAGGCTGGGCTGCATCAGATTTTCCGCCAAGCGGAGCAAGAGCCCGAGGAAGCCGCCCAGGAGTTTCCTTAGCCTGGCTGGGGCTCTGAGGAGGAGGAGGAGGGGCGCGCAAGCCCTCGTCACCAGCCACGATCCCCTCTGGCTCCTTCTTCACTACTACCACCACCACCACCAAGACGAGGAGGTGGAGAAGAGAGGGAGCGCCGGCGACTACCTAGCCGGGGGGGTTGAAGGGCACGACATAATTTATTTTAACTAACAGGGACACACTCCCCATGTCCAGTTTCCTGCATAGGTCACCCACCAAAGCTGTCTAACCAGGCTTGAAGCTAGATTGAAATAGATCTAGATCAGGGGTCTCAAACTCAATTTACCTGGGGGCCGCTGGAGACAGAGTCTGGGTGAGGCTGGGCTGCATCAGATTTTCCGCCAAGCGGAGCAAGAGCCCGAGGAAGCCGCCCAGGAGTTTCCTTAGCCTGGCTGGGGCTCTGAGGAGGAGGAGGAGGGGCGCGCAAGCCCTCGTCACCAGCCACGACCCCCTCCGGCTCCTTCTTCACTACCACCACCAGCAGCAGCAGCAGGATGAAGAAGCGGAGAAGGGAGGGAACGCCGGTGACTGCCTAGCCGGGGGGAGGAGGACACAACATAATTTTTTTTTAAAAAAAAAAACTGAAATTAAACAGAATGGGACGGCCCCCTACAGGTGCACGTGCGTGCACAAGGCATTGCTGTGTAGCAGCGTGGGCTATTGTGGAAAAGCGCCAGCAGTGTGCCTTGCTTGCCGGCTCTCCCCCAAGACAGCGCCTCTTGCACCCTCCACCCGGAACTGCAGCCTGCCAGCTGGCAGACAGGCGGACTGGCTAGCAGGCTGCAGTTCCGGATGGAGGCGAGACTTGTTTTTGACTCTTGACAGCAGAGGACACATGGGTGCTTCAGGGGGAGCAGGCAAGGCGGGAGGCACAAACTATTGTCCAGCGGGCCGTATGTTTTGAGACTTCTGATCTAGATAATCTCATCTAGCAAGGAATCCTTGTTGCTGAGAAACCACAACTCACTCTGTCACCTGCCACCATTAGTAATTCACAACAACAGTACCCCCGGCTAGGTTGAGGCTCTTTTTCCTCTTGCTTGCAAATGATCTCTTACTGCAATGACCACTTTGTGCCATTTCTATGTGAGCAATTTCTTACCATACCAAATCCTGTTATCTAAAGTCCCCTTGCAGTTAAACACTAGATAGATAAGAGGGCGAACTTCCAAATATTTATTTATTTATTTATTTATTTATTTATTTATTTGATTTATATCCCGCTCATCTGGTCGGATTGACCACTCTGAGCGGCTTCCATAAAAATATACAATAAAGCATTAAAAAGTATTACAAATAAAAATTATTACAAATAATTATCTAATACCATGTGATCCGAGGAGGGCTTTTTCAACAATTGTCTTACTACTGCCTCCTTTAAGCATGCAGGCTCCTATCCTGCTGCACTGAATATACTGTATTCTAAGCTTTATTTGGATATAAATATTTTGATGCATATCTTATTTGCATATACCTTTCTGACATTTCTTAAATCTTAAAATAGAAACGTACAGCTTTAGCATACCCGTGCAATTGTACATGAGGTCTCTGCTTCCATAAATCAAACAAAGGAAGTTATACAACTTCTCAATTTGCTCAGTGTGGTATTGATTCACAATGTAACAAATTAATTTTATGAAGTATTTTTTTTTAGATGGATTTTGTTGCACATCATTGAAAAATTATTCATGGCAGAGTGCTCAAAAGTATATGCTTATATTTTTTCACATTTCTATTATGTCTGCAATCCAATGATGCCAATTTAAGATTGGGAATAAACTCTTTCACCACCAAGTTAATTTGTTGGTTCACTGAGATATGCTTCCAACTTTGCTAGCAAAATATTCGTATTATATTTTAAATAGAGAGTTACAGTTTTGAATCTATAACGGATTAGAAACAATTGCTAACTAAAATGAATTTATTTGTGTGATGTTCCATAAAATGAAATTCACCTTTACACTGAGCCTTAAGCTGCTGTATGGATCCCTAGTGTGCTCATTTTAAACATGTAGCAAGTGAGGCCTCGGTTGAAACATGAATATTGTGTAATATACAGGTAATTGTTGCTTAACTAGTGTTCTACATAAATAATACAGAGAGATTTAACTGCAAAATTACAGTTTGAGATGTCAAACTCTTATTTGGATCAGTTGAGTGTTGTAAAATTAGAGTTCCTAACAGCCAAAGCCCTACTGACCCAGATTCAAGCATATCTGCTCTTATATCTGTCCCCAGGACCATTTCCTTTCTATTTCTGGATATATTATTTCTTACTGAAGCACTCCCAGATTGAGAATAAGTTGGCATCTGGCTTGACAGTGTGTCCAGGGCTCACAAAAGATGTGCATTCACAATCTGTTCTGGCATACCTACGTAACCTCTTTTAAAATGCCAAAAAAGAACCACCAGAAAGTTTTTACAGTGGTATGGTTAGAAATTCAAGATGAGACATCTCCTTCTGAGAACAGACTTCTATGTCCAGTCTTGCAGGAGGTGATCTGATATATCCTATGTCATGTGGAAAACACCCCTCCCCCCCGCCAAATTGTAGTCTTAATTGTAGGATTGCATTTAGATGCAAAGGAAGTGCATAAGGGTGTGAAAGCAGCTTGTCACGATTTGGAGATATGCTTGTGCTGGTGGTTTGAGCAAACAAACTTCTTTTTTTAAGCCAAGATGATTATTTAAGCTTTCATCTTGTGCTTTTATTACCATATAGCTAATGCAGCTGTTGCTGTTGAAAAGTGAATGTCAGCTATCCATGGGAATAGCTAACATAGTCAGACCCTGTAACTGCAGAGTAAAATTTGCAGTGGAATTTTTCAGCTGTTTTCCACTCATGGCTCTGACACACTGTTGCTTCTAAGTTGAATGTAATTTATATTATCCTTTTAAATATATAATTAAGTATTGTTGATTTATTGAGTTTTTCTGAGAAGAGTAGTCATGTTAGTTTATTGTAGCAAAAATAATTAAAAGCCTTATGGCATATTATCAACTAACACTTTTAGTATTAACTTTTGTAACTATAACAGATGTTCACTTCACACATGCAAATTGTAAATTGTAAATGTTGATGTCAGAGGGAGCTGAAATACAGAAAGTACAGTGATAATTATATTTACAGCGACCTTACATCTGTACAGTGACCTTTTACAACACATTTTTGGGTAATAGATTCTTGGATTGATGAGCTGATTAATGTATATAGTGTGACAGAAGGACATTCTACTTGTTCAAAGCAGTGGAAATAGACTTAAATTTCTTAAGAGCAGAATAACAGCTGTTCTGGATCAGATCTATTTGTTCATCATTCCTATTCCTTCAGTGACCAAATGTATGCTTACAAGATGCTAGGGAGGTTCCTAGGAGGAAATTAGTTCAGTAGTACAATACCCTGTTGCTTGGGATGGAGATGGGAAAATTAACATAAAACATTTAAACTGTTAGTGAGCACAATATCTGTCTCATTAAGATTTCAGAAAGAGTTAACTGTTTAAGGTAGCTATACCGCATGTCTCGAGCCTGATTTGCAGTGAGAAAACTGGTAACATTTTTCTACTGAGTTTGCTATTTGCAGTGAGGAAACTGGTAACGTTTTTCTACTGAGTTTGCCATTTCTTCTAAGTCTTATAGAGAAGGATCTTGATAAATTCTTGTTCACCTGTTTCACATTCAGATGTATCTTGGAAATTCCTTTGCTTGAGAAGATGCATAAAGGTCAATGACAAGTGTCCTGGGAGCCTGAAGTGTTCCTCTGCTTACTAGAAGATCATGGTGTCTGTTGCTTTAAAGAATGTCAACATGTTAAACCTATATTCATATTTCTAATCTCAGATTTCTGTTGGTTCTTTAGTATAAAGTAGTTCTCAAATTTGGGTCCCCGGATGTTATTGGACTTGAACTCCCAAAAACCCTGGACTGCACAGCAAATGGTAAAGGCTTCTGGGAATTGTGGTCCAAGAACATCTGGAGGCCCAAGGTTGGGGACCACTGCTTTAGTATAAAGACTGTTAATTTTATGTAAGATGCAGTGGGATGTTGATGGCGATTAGTAGTGTCTTAAAAAGCACGATTAAATTAGTGTCAGTTCTAATAAACAGTAATGGTCCATAGATAAATATTATTCGCTTACCCAGCATATAGAGAGAGATGCAGGAACCGCTCCCTGATGACAGCTGCTACTCACAATGGTAAAAAGTAATTGTTAAGTAAGTGTTTTAAATAACAAAATCATCAAGCCATTTAGTTTTTCTTTATCATTAATATCCCAAATACTGTACCAGATATCTGTGACAAGAGCTTAGATTACAAGAGAGATGCTGGGAGGAATTGTGTGTGTTTATAGCATATGTATGTAAGTAAAATTATGGCAGCATAAACTGGGCCTACACCAGAAACAATTAGTTTAAACAAATCAAAAATTTCATATCCTCTCCCTTTCAGGTTGAAGCTTCCTCGGGCTCACGTGTCCTGATGAAGCCTTTTGTAGCCTTGGGATGGAGGGGAATGAGTGAGTGGGAGACTTTGACAATCAGAAATTGCTGCTGCAATTTTACTATTAAAATGCCCCCCCCAATCCAGTTAATGCTGGCATAACCTTACAACAGAATAATTTTGTCTGCTTTCATGGGGAAAGCATGGGCAATGTAGTATACTTGCAAAGAGTACTGACAACCAGCTGAGGGCTAAAAGTAACATACTAAGCAAATGACTCCAGTATCTTTGTGGTGCTTATTGCTGCTTTCCCTTTCAGCTAATCTTCCAGTACCAACTATTGCTGCAATCGATGGCATTGCATTAGGCGGTGGCCTGGAATTGGCTTTAGCCTGTGACATACGAGTAGCAGGTAAGACTTGGTCCTATTTTTACAGTTGCAGCACTTGTAGCTGGACATCTTGTCTTAAGTCCTGCTTTGGAAAGTGATTTTAATTTTTATTAATCAACTTTTAACCTGCACATGAAGTAATGACACATTGACCAAAATCGTATTGCAAAAGTTACTCCTGATGAAGTGTGATGATGTGATCAGGGGTGATTTCTGGTAATTACAGACTGGTACAGTGGTGCCCTGCATAGCGAGGTTTATCTGTTCCGGATTAACCTTCGCTATGGGAAAACATCGTAAAACGGATTCAAAAAACCCATTGGAACTCATTAAACAAAGTTTAATGCGTTCCAAATGGGCCCAAAACTCACCGTTCTCCGATGTTTTCCCTTGTTCCGGCAGCCATCTTGGGTGTACTGGTGGCCATTTTGAGCATCCCGGTGGCCATTTTGGGTGTACAGGTGGCCATTTTTTGTGTTCCGGTGGCCATCTTAGGTGTACCGGCGGCCATTTTTTGTGTTCTGGCGGCCATCTTGGTTGTACCGGCGGCCATTTTGAGAGTCCCGGTGGCCATTTTGGGTGTACCGGCACCCCATTTTTTGTGTTCCGGCGGCCATTTTGGAACCGCTGAACAGCTGTTCCCCGTCGTAATGCGAGCATGCCCTTGCATTAGCGATGGGGAAATCCGCATTGCAATGCGGATTCATCGTTCAATGGTGCATTCGTTATAGGAGGGACCACTGTATTTGTATGTGGTTCTCAAAAATCTAAGCAATGAAATGATAGTATTTTGAGAGACATCTTTAAGAGCCTAATGAGCAAAGAGACTATGGGTCTCCTATTCCTTTGGACTTCTGTAGAGCTTAGCCACTCCGACATATTTCCTTCTCCTTCAGGTGAATAATGGTGGCTCCAGACTCAGACTTGCACATGTGAGCATTGAAACTCCTCTGAGGATTTAAATTTTTTTGCCTGCAGCTCCCAGAATTCTAGCTAAAGAAATTCCTGGCAAGTTCTGGGAGCTGCAGTAAAACAATATCTGAAAGTCCTATGTCTATCTTATCTATCTGTCTACCTCAGAAACTAAAAACGGAATTATTCAAAGCTGCTTTCAACAACAGACCCTCCAGAATGCTGTAATTTTTTCTCTTTTCTTTTTGTAGGAAATTCCCACTTTCTGTTATGTATCTCTGTTATTTATCTCTGAATGTATGTTATGGGGGAATCCTCTGGGGTTTTAAGTTGCACAATGTTGCCTTTCTATATCCTTCATGGATTGCTGCCTTGCTATGGCGAAGGGGTTTGAGTAATTCAGAGAAACTATGGGCTATGTCGTGCAGGGACACCCAAAACGGGCAGGTCATAGTGGAGAATTCCGACTAAACGCAATCCACCTGGAGTAGGAATTGGCAAGCCACTCCAATATCTTTGCCAAGAATACCTGATGAACATAAACAAAAGGCTAAAAGATATGATGCTGGAAGATGGCCCCTCAGGTCGGAAGGCGTCCAACATGCTACTGAGGAAGAGCGGAGGACAAGTACAAGTATCTTCAGAGCTAATGAAGTGGTTGGGCCAAAGCCGAAAGGGCTCTCGGTTGCAGACGTGCTTGGAAGTGAAAGGGAAGTCCAATGCTGCAAAGAAAAATACTGCATAGGAACCTGGAATGTAAGATCTATGAACCTTGGTAAGCTGGACATGGTCAAACAGGAGATGGCAAGAATAAACATTGACATCCTGGGTGCCAGTGAACTAAAATGGACGGGAATGGGTGAATTCAGTTCAGACGATTAACATATCTACTATTGTGGGCAAGAAGCCCATAGAAGAAATGGAGTAGCTCTCATATTCAACAAAAGAGTGGGAAGAGCTGTACTGGAATATAATCTCAAAAATGATAGAATGATTTCAATACGAATCCAAGGCAGACCTTTCAACATCACAGTAATCCAAGTTTATGCACCAACCACCAATGCTGAAGAGGCTGAAATTGACCAATTCTGTGAAGACTTACGACACCTTCTAGAACTGACGCCAAAGAAAGATGTTCTTCTCATTCTAGGGACTGAAATGCTAAAGTAGGGAGTCAAGAGATAAAAGGAACAACCGGTAAGTTTGGTCTTGGAGTTCAAAACAAAGCAGGGCAAAGGCTAATAGAGTTTTGTCAAGAGAACAAGCTGGTCATCACAAACACTCTTTTCCAACAACACAAGAGGGGACTCTACACATGGACATCACCAGATGGGCAATACCAAAATCAGAATGATTATGTCCTCTTCGGCCAAAGATGGAGAAGCTCGATACAGTCAGCACAAACAAGGCCTGAGCTGATTGTGGCTCTGATCATCAGCTTCTCATAGCAAAATTCAAGCTTAAACTGAAGAGAGTAGGAAAAACCACTGGGCCACTCTGGTATAACCTAAACCAAATCCCTTATGAATACACAGTGGAAGTGAAGAACAGATTTAAGAAACTAGATTTGGTGGACAGAGTGCCTGAAGAACTTTGGA